GGCAGTTTGAACCCCCCAGAGGTGCCTCAGAAGATAGGCCTGGCAATTTGTTTCTGAAATGTAACAGCTTTGAAAACTCTATGGAGCTGTTCTACTATGCATAGATGTGAACACCATGAGTTGGAATTGACTCATCGCCACTAACAACAATGACAATCCATTATCAAGTTGGCAGATCAGGAGCTTGATGGTGAAAGAGGGGACTGACATTCAGGGCATTTACTGATGTCAACTAATATTGCTACATTAAGGCAGTTTTCTTCAGGAACAGAATAATATCACTTTGAAATGCATAATTTTGTTTAATTCTGCAGTGGCAAACTAAGGCAAATATTGTTTTCATTTGCTCAGGCCAAAAATCTGTGAGTCATTATTGATTCTTATCTTTTCTCACACATCCCATCCATAACAAATTCTGTTGGCTGTACCTTTAAAATATACCTTTAATCTAGTCACCTCTCCATATGTCCACCCGTACCACCAGTCCAAGAGGCAATGATAATTCTCCTGGACTATTGCTATAGATACATAACTAGTCTCCTGATTTCCCACTCAACAATCTTTTGAAACTTAAGCCAGGACATGTTATTTCTTTGTGCAAAACTTTCTAAGGCAATGTTGTCCAATGGAAATATAATGTAAGCCACATATGTAAGTTCCAAATTTTTTAAATACACTAAGAGTAAAAATTAAAATAGTAAATTTAAAAATATATTTATGTAACCCATATCAAAATATTATTTCAACAAGTAATCCATGTAAAACTATTAATGAGATACCTCACTTTTTTTTTTCTTGTACCAAGTCTTTGAAATCCAGTATGTATTTTATACTTACAATACATCTCCTTTGGACCAGCCACATTTCAAGTGCTCAATAACCACCTGTGGTTAGTGGCTACCATACTGAGCTAAGAAATCTGTTGCCATCCAGTTGATTCCAACTCACTGTGGCCCTCTATGACAGAGAGAACTGCTCCACAGGTTTTCCTAAGGCTGAAATCTCTACGGGAGAAGACTGCCACATCTTTCTCCCATGGAGCAGCTGGTGGGTTCGAACTGCCAACCTCTGGGTGCTTTAACCACTGCACCACCAGGGCTCCTCCATATTGTACTACACAGTTCTAAAGACTTTCTATTTTATATAGAGTAAATCTTGAGGTCCTCAAAGCGGTCTGTGAGGCGTTATATAATTCACTTCCCACCTTGCTATCTATGCCGTGATATACCAAGCATGCTTCTGACTCAGGGTTTTCATATCCATAGTTCCCTCTCCATGGGATAACTATCTCTTGCTCATTATCACATGACTTCTCCCTCACTTCATTAAAGTTTCTGTTCAGATTTCAGCCTATCAGGGAAGCTTCCCTTAACCACACTCCTTAAAATAATATCTCCCTTCTGCGATTTTTTACTTTTCTAATTGTATTTGTCTTTACTGCAATTATCATGATATTATATATTAACTGATTATTAGTATGATTTCATTTTTTGTTGTCCTCCAATAGAATGTAAGCTCCATGGGAACAAGATTTTACTTTGTTCACTGCTAAATCTCCAGTGCTTATAACCAGTGACTATTAGTAACTCTTCAGTAACTAATCTTTGAATGAATAAATCCCCAGCTTTAAGATATGGTTAATACGGCTCAAAGAAAGAGTTTAATTTATTAGCCCAAGACCTCCTAGCTGGTCGTTGGTGGGTTTGGGATTTAAACATACAATCTCTGAATTCAAAAGGATCAACAGCTTTCTGGGGCTGGGGGTGGGGTGGGCAGGGAGTTTATATATTGCTTAGAAATGTCACATGAGACTTTCCCCAAACAGTTTTTTCTAGGAGAAATTTAAACAAAATAAGTAAGCATTGTAATTTTTTCTCTCTAGAAAATATAAGGTTCTAAAATAGGTGTTGGCAAATTAAGGCCCAGTGCCAAATACAGACCATCATCTGTTTTGTAAAGACTTATTTATGAAAGTATTATATT